GATCGACCACACAGATAGTGCCTGCCCAAAATAGTTCCATAAGAAAAGTGGTAGAGGTCAGTCACTTTCGGGAGTCCCAAAACAAAATAAATACAGAGCAAATCTCCTGGCTCCTCGGTAGCGATTGTTTGCCTAGTTTGTGCGAAAAATCCTACGGAACAGTGCTCTCCTGAGAAGTTTAGAGAAGAAGCAAGCGATGGTATCAGTTCAGCGGTGTTCGCGAGTTACTCTGTCTGATTTTAGTTGCATGCACTTGACGTCCAAACACTGCTGCCTGCTTTCGTGCGACAAGATGATCGCCAACTTATTTCCCACGTGTAGGTCCATGCACCCAGGCCACCCAGCAGAACACTTGAGTTAACTAGGTGTGAACAGATGATGGAGGTGTCAGGAGAAGTCAATAGGCGTTAACAAGTCAAGAGGTGGTCCGAGTATGGGGAATATAAAGAGTTTGGTCTGTTCCCAAACCATAAGTAATAAATGAACTGCAGCAATGATTCGTGAATGGATGTCCTGTCACAGTATATGAGTACAACGAGAAATATAGGATAGTCAGACAGACCAAGGTCAGTATTGGAGATGGAAGGATAAATGTAGAACAAAGCCAAGGCTCAAGGATACCAGAAGAATGGATATCATCTTCCTGTCTGCCCGCACCGCCCACGCCTCGCCCTTCTGACATAGAAACATAGAAACATAGAAACATAGAAACATAGAATGTGACGGCAGATAAGAACCATTCGGCCCATCTAGTCTGCCCAATTTTCTAAAAACTTTCATTAGTCCCTAGCCTTATCTTATGGTTAGGATAGCCTTATGCCTATCCCACGCATGCTTAAACTCCTTTACTGTGTTAACCTCTACCACTTCAGCTGGAAGGCTATTCCATGCATCCACTACCCTCTCAGTAAAGTAATACTTCCTGATATTATTTTTAAACCTTTGTCCCTCTAATTTAAGACTATGTCCTCTTGTTGTGGTAGTTTTTCTTCTTTTAAATATAGTCTCCTCCTTTACTGTGTTGATTCCCTTTATATATTTAAATGTTTCTATCATATCCCCCCTGTCTCGTCTTTCCTCCAAGCTATACATGTTAAGATCCTTTAACCTTTCCTGGTAAGTTTTATCCCGCAATCCATGAACCAGTTTAGTAGCCCTTCTCTGAACCCTCTCTAAGGTATCAATATCCTTCTGAAGATACGGTCTCCAGTACTGTGTACAATACTCCAAGTGAGGTCTCACCAGTGTTCTGTACAATGGCATGAGCACTTCCCTCTTTCTACTGCTAATACCTCTCCCTATACAACCAAGCATTCTGCTAGCATTTCCTGCTGCTCTATTACATTGTCTGCCTACCTTTAAGTCATCAGAAATAATCACCCCTAAATCCCTTTCCTCATATGTTGAGGTTAGGACTCTATCAAATATTCTGTACTCTGCCCTTGGGTTTTTACGTCCAAGATGCATTATCTTGCACTTATCCACATTAAATGTCAGTTGCCACAATTCTGACCATTTTTCTAGTTTACCTAAATCATTTGTCATTTGGCTTATCCCTCCTGGAACATCAACCCTGTTACATATCTTAGTATCATCAGCAAAAAGACATACCTTACCATCAAGACCTTCTGCAATATCACTAATAAAAATATTAAAGAGAATGGGTCCAAGTACAGATCCCTGAGGTACCCCACTGGTGACAAGTCCAAGCTTCGAATATATTCCATTAACTACAACCCTCTGTTGCCTGTCACTCAGCCACTGCCTTACCCATTCAACAATATTTGAATCCAAACTTGAAGATTGCAGTTTATTGATAAGCCTTCTATGTGCAACAGTGTCAAAAGCCTTACTGAAATCTAGGTAAGCAATGTCTACTGCACCACCCTGATCTATAATTTTAGTTACCCAATCAAAAAAATCAATAAGATTAGTTTGGCATGATCTCCCTGAAGTAAACCCATGTTGTCTCTGATCTTGAAATCCAAGTGTTTTTAGATGTTCAACAATCCTATCCTTTAACATGGTTTCCATCACTTTCCCCACTACTGAAGTAAGGCTTACTGGCCTATAGTTGCCCAACTCCTCCCTATTACCTTTCTTGTGAATGGGCACAACGTTCACTAACTTCCAATCTTCTGGGACTACTCTTGTTAACAATGATTGGTTAAATAAATCTGTTAATGGTTTTGCTAGTACACCACTAAGCTCTTTTACTAGCTTTGGGTGTATTCCATCAGGTCCCATTGACTTATTTGTCTTTACTTTTGACAGTTGAAATAGAACCTCTTCCTCTGTAAACTCACGTGTAATAAATGACTAATTTATCCTTTTTCTCAACTGAGGTCCTTTTCCTTCATTTTTCTGTAAATACAGAACAAAAATATTCATTGAGGCAGTCAGCCTGACCTTTATTCTCTTCTACATACCTTCCTTCTTTTGTTTTTAATCTAACTAATCCTTGTTTTACTTTTCTTTTCTCATTTATGTATCTAAAAAAATGTTTTATCCCTCTTTTTTACTGACTGTGCTATTTTCTCTTCTGTGTGTGATTTGGAAGCTCTTATAACTTGCTTAGCCTCTTTCTGCCTAATCTTATAGATCATTTTGTCTTCCTCACTCTGGGTTTTTTTATAATTCCTAAATGCTAACTTTTTGTTTTTAACTATTTTGGCCACATCTGCGGAGTACCACAATGGTTTCTTGAATTTTTTGCTTTTACTGACAAGCCTAACGCAATTTTCTGTTGCCCTCAATAGTGCAACTTTTAAATGATCCCATTTCTCTTGGACTCCATTTAAATTCCTCCAGTCTGATAATGACTCCTCTACCCATATTCTAATTTTTAGAAAAGTCTGTCTTTCTAAAGTCTAAAACTTTTGTTTTTGTATGGTGTGACTCAGTCACTGTTCTTATATTAAACCACACTGACTGATGATCACTGGATCCTAAACTTTCACCTACAGTAATATCTGATACCAAATCTCCATTTGTTAACTCTAAATCTAGTATGGCCTCTTTACGAGTTGGCTCCTCAACAACTTGTTTTAGAGACAATCCCAGTAGGGAGTTTAGAATATGTGTGCTCCTGGTACAAGTAGCTAATTTTGTTTTCCAATTTACATCAGGAAGATTAAAGTCACCCATGATGATAACTTCTCCCTTCATTGTCATTTTAGCTATTTCCTCAACTAGTAGATTATCTAACTCTTTAATTTGTCCTGGGGGCCTATAAATCACACCTACACGAGTTACTGTGTGATTAACAAATTCTAACGTAACCCAAACGGACTCTGTTTGTCTCACTAACTTTTATTAGGCTAGATTTATGCTATCCTTCACATACAGGGCCACCTCCCCCCTTTCTTGCCTTCCCCCTCTATCTTTCCTATATGTAAAGAAAAATTCTTGGTATTGCTATGTCCCAGTCAGCTTTTCTTATTGCACCATGTCTCAGTAACAGCCACTCAAATCTACACTATCAGTTGCTAGCTATTGCTACAAGTTCATGTGGGATCTTATTCCTAAATCCGCGGTGCATTTGTAGACACATGACTCTAAGCTATCATTTTAACACACTTGCCAAGGTAAGTACCTTTCTCTGTCCTTGTTTCTTTGGGGACAATTGGATTGATGTTTTAATACCCCTTTTGCCCCCCTCCTAGTTTAAATACATCCTAGCAAAAACCTCTGAACTGCTCACTGAGAACATTTGTTCCCTTTTGAGAAAGATGCAAACCATCTTTTTTGTACAGGTTATTTCCATTCCAAACAGAGCTACCATGAGAAATAAAGCCAAATCCTTGCTCCCTACACCATTCACCAAGCCACAAATTAAAGTCCCTAATACGCATCCGCCTGTCGTTCTGAGTGTTATGCACAGGCAGAACTTCAGAGAATGACAGTGTGGAAGCAACCTGCCGTATATCATTGGCAAAAACACTAAAAACTTTCTTAACCTCTGAAACCTCATTGCAAGCCAAGTCATTTGTCCCTAGATGGACAAGTACATCCAATTCCCCTTCCTGCTTTGTTTGCTTAACAATATTACAGAT